AGACCCTGGAGGCGGGTCTGTAAGTCCGGGTGGGGCCCACCGAGGTCCCCGGCTTAGGGACTGAGGGGCCGATTTTGCTGCGCACAGAACCGCAATAACCCGTAGCCTCTCTGGAGCACCCTGCCCGGTTGACTGCCAGGAGCTGGTCCACCTACTGGCCACGCCCGCCCGCTGTGCTGAGCACTGGCTTTCCTGAGACCCCCGCGGGCCAGCGCTCCGCCCCGACCCTAGCCCCGGGCCGAAGGGGCCCTGGGGCTGCATGGTGTGGCGCTCCGTGCGGTACGGAAGGGGTGTTCCTTTGGAGACTGCTTTCCGCGGTAAAACAGAGAGCACGAAATAATGTGTTGACCTGGCACACAGGCTGTGCACAATAAAAGCCTAATTGACCGGATGAAGACGTGCAGCCCCGCCCAGCTTCCTCAGACCCAGGCTGATGCAGGCAGGAGCTCACCAGACAGACGCGCCCCTTTAAGTCTGTGGTGGAGGGTCGGGATAACCTTAGTCCCCGCTATTTGCCCTCCAATCTTCTCTGATGAAAGGACTGCATAAAACTACGAATTGGAGCATTTCCAATTCTGGGGCCACTCAGGTCTGGTCCTCAAGTCCTTCTTTCCAGGTAACTTGTCACTGGTAGTCACAATGAAACTGGCCTGCTGTCGGCTTCTTGTGTGGCTCTCGACCCCAGCACCTGGACTGGACCTGTGAGTTAGCCAATAGGAGAATATGGTGGAAGCAATGATGGGCGGTGCCAGGTCTGAGCTTTAAAACTTGACTGAGCTGTTGTTCCTTCGGTGTAACCCACTTTTCCACCTTGTTCTAGAGAGACCACATGCAGAAAAGAACCCAATGATCACATGAACTTGGTGGGTCCATGCTAGATGAGGGGCAGTCATTGAGGTACAAAACCAGCTAAGTTTTTCCAGCCATCTGGGCTGTACCTCGGTACCTAAAACAGAAACAAGTCCTTCCTACCCGTGCCTTATCCAAAATCCTGAGAAATGATAAACTGACTGCTGTTTTAAGTTACTAAGTGTTAGACAGGTTTGTTACTGAGCAACAGACAGAACATTGTCTGACATAAATCTTGAGCTGTGAGAAATATTCTTTAGGAGCTGCCTCAAAGTTTAGGTGCCTTACAGTCCCTAGCAAACAAATAAGACCTCTCATCTACCTGTGGAGCCTCTCAGCTTTACCTTAGAGCTACGATTCCAAGATACCTGAATTCTGACCTCCTCTCTCTGCATCCCCTTCAAGCCTTGTGAGTGAATTGTACAAAAGCCTCACTGTCAGGTCTCTACCAACACGTTTATTTTATTCCCACATGAAGCCTATTGTTTAGCCTAGCCTTAGCATTCCAGTTTGTGGGCTTTGTTTTGTTTGCTGTATCCTAAATGGAACTGTATAGGATGAGTTGACAATTGAAGATTACCCTGGGCTGGGGGACAGTAACATGGAACTTTGCTCTGGCTTCAGGAGACACGGCTCCAGGCCAGAAATAGAACCAGGGCCCCCCTTCACTCCCCATTGCCTAAATGAACTGAGGCTGTGATCTTTCCTATGATGTTACCAACACTCAAAAGTAACAGAAAATGGTTTGCATCTACAGAGCAGCAATACAGCTACTCTCCAGAGCCTGGAACCTTGCTACAGCAAATGTTCTCTTCCTTACTTTTTTAACCTCCCTTCTCTATCTAGTTCTTTCTACTTTGCATTCAAATATGCTCAGATTATCTTGTTCTTAAAAATCAAATAAGGTCACTCTTTGATCTTGAGGGAAGTATTGCAATCTTTCTCCTGTGGATTAATGATACTTGCAAATTATTTTACATCTTTCAATGAAGAGATGGGGACCAACCCCTAACTCCCCTCCTTTAATCTGGGGTGGGCTAACTCCCCCCCCTTTAATCTGGGATGGGCTTTGTGATTTGTTTTGTTTTTGTTTTTTTTTAAAGATTTGTTTACTATGTATACAGGCCAGAGCTTCAGGGGTGGTGAAAGGATACACCAGAAACAGAGTGGGGAGCAGAACAGGCAGATTGACGAAGTACACTGCTGAGGGGAGCTGCAGGTGAGAGAGGAGAGGTCTGCTGCGCCATGCAGGTCACCTTCTGGCAGGGGATTGAACTTGAGCTGAAGTAGGTGACCCGCTTCACAATTCTTTGCTTTAACTGGTTGTGCTGCCAGGAAGAGCCCCTTTGTGATTTGTTTGACCATTTTACAATGCATGTGCTGAGACTTCTGAGTCTAGGTCATACAAAAATTTCAGTTTCCTCCCGAGGGAGTAAGAACACTTGTCCTGGATCCCTCCCTTGTCATACAATGAGGTAAAGCACAGCACTATGAAGCTATCAGAAGCCGCTGCAGCACGAATTTGATCCCCGGCTAGGGAGCTGACCCACATGGCGCAGCAGACCTCTCCTGTCTCACCCTCTGCTCCCCTCAGCAGTGTATTTCAGTCACTCTGCCTGTTCTGCTCCCCACTCTGTCTCTGGTGAATCCTCTCACCCCCTGTACCTCTGGCCTGTACCCCAGTTCTTGTAGGCATAAATAAATAAATTTTTGAAAAAAGAATACTTGTCCTGGGGAAATCCAACAGACATAATTGAATTCCATCTACTCTAAGACTGCATACTGTGTGAGGAAGCCATTTCCCAGCTGTTCCAAAATTCCAGCAGTCTGTGTCTTGAGGACATTTAGGGGGACCTCAAGAAAAGAAGAATTTATACAAAAATACAGGTGATACAGTTGAAGTCTACTCTTCAATTTGGAACTGCTTTAAGTTCATACTGTATATAACAGTCCTCACCAGCTGCATGGCCAACAGGTTTGTATCTACTCAGATTGACGTTTGATGTTACCTCTGTTAATTTCCTTTTTTTTTCCCCCCAAGAAAAACATCCTTTTGATAAAAATTTCTCTTATAGGTAACAACCTGTGTTAGTTTCCTGTGACTATTGTAATAAATTGCCACAAACTTAGTGGTTTAAAATAACAAGTTTATTCTCACAATTTTGGAGACCACAGGTCCACAGTCAGGCTGTCACCAGGCCACACTCCCTCTGAGGAGGGTAGGGGCAAGTCCTACCTTGCCTGTTCCAGGTTCTGGTGGCTGCTGGCATTCCATTCGCTGTCTTATAAACACATCACTTCAATCTATGCTTCTGTCATCACATCGCCTTCTTTTCTATCTCCTCTGCATGTCTCTTATAAAGATACTCATCATTGGATTTAGGGCTAGATAATCCAGGATGAGTGCCTCATCTCAAGATGTTTAATTGCACCTACAAAGACTCTTTCTTCACGTATATGCTGACACTTAGGGCCCTGGGGATTATGATATAGACGTGTTTGGGGGGAGCCTTTATTTAGCCCACTATAAAACCCTACATGGGAAGTCAACACATTCACTTTATACAACCACATTGAGTGGCTACTGTATGCACAGATGCAACTAAGCTCTGGGGAGGCATCATATAGAAATACCTTGCCTTTCTTCACACCCATTAGGATGGCTAACATTTTGAAAGTGACAACAAATGGTGAGAAATAAAGAAATTAGAACCCTTGTACATTATGAGTGGGAATGTAAAATGGTGCAGCCTCTATAGAAAAGTTTGGCTATTCCTCAAAATATTAAAAATATATATTATATATACATAATCTTCACAAATTATATTTCTGGATCATATAATTCTATTTTTAGTGTATACACACATGTAGGAATCCAAAATAATTAAAAGCAGGATCTTGAAGTGATGTTATAATGTTCACAGCAATGTTATTCACAATAGTCAGAAGTAAAAGCAACCTAAATGTCTATGGAGGGATGAATCGATAAGCAAAATGTGGTCTATAAATACAATGGTATGTTATTCAGTCTTAAAACAGAAAGAACTTCTGATATAATACAGCCAGGATGAAACTTTCTACGTGAAATTATGCCAAGTGAAATGTCAGTCACAAATAGATAAATACTGTATGATTCCATTTATATGAGCTAACTAAAGTAGTCAAGTTCATAAAAACAAAGTGTAGAATACTGGTTGCTGGGAGAAAATGGCCAGTGTTTCTTTAAAGAGTAGAGTTTCAGTTTTGCAAGACGAAAAAGTTGTGAGCTTTGCTTTGCAACAATGGGGAAATGTTTAACACTACCGAACTATATGCACTTAAAAATGGTTCAGATGGTACATGGTACATTTTTTTTTTAAA